CCCCCCGTGCTCGTTAACGAGCCGCGTGTGGCTTGTTTCGCTTTCCGTTGCACTTAAATATATGTTGCTGGTGAACTGGATGCTTTGCTACCTGAACTTGGCTCTCCCAAAGATCTGCTAGTCCTCTTCAGCTTAACTGATAGCTTGAAATATAAACACAATTAAAACTATATTTTTTATGCTTAAATATCTATAGCATCAGGATCATGTGGCTTAAGTAATAAATCTACTGGAATCTTTGGTGATGAGAATAGTGTGAGTACGCTACACGAAAATGCTAGTCTGAATCAAACGTGCATGCGCTGCAGATGAAGAAAAAAAATTAAGACAATTCAGTGTACAGACACTCAGTTACTTGTACAAGAACAATGCGATGTGTCATGACCGCTCAGCAGTCTGGGAGGATTATTTTTTCTTTTTTCATAAAGTCTGTACTCATATCAACAATTGTCCAGAGAACAGTATGCAGCTAGTGGATCAACTTAAAATTACAAAATTTCTAAAAATGTCTTGTTATGAGTTTCTGCATCTGTTTCTTTTCCTCTGTATATATGCTTTTGCCATCACAATTTAAAGATCTTTGGTTGGTTTCTGTTTCAGTCAGCTGTGTTAAGTAGATATTTTACGTCAACTGTTTTTCTGGTGGCTGTGGGGGCCAGGAGTCATAGTACACAAACATAGAAACAAATCTTGAAAGCTGTCTCAGCTGACCTCTGCTCTGAATCATTTAAGCTTAAGTATAAAACCAAAAAGACTTTCACCTAGTCTTGAGATAAAATCTCTGTAATGTACAAGTTAATAAATAGCAAAGCATTTTATTATGTTTCTTCTGTTACAAAGGCTTGAATGCTTGGCTCAAGATACCCCTTTGGAGGAGTGTGTTTGGAAGATTAGATTTTGATTTATTGATGGAACAAGACCTTGCAGGGTGAAGGCTGTTTTAGGCAGTGTGATTGGGATTGATATCAGGTATACTGCTTAAATAACTGGGTACCTCTTCTTTTTGGATACACTGATAATAAGATAGCCCTTAATTACGGGACAGCGTGCTTACTCTAAAATGCCTGTATACTGGTTTACTGCTTGCTATTTAAATCTTGTGGTTAAATAAATTGCCAGTTGAAAAATTCCCTTAAGCTGTCAGTCTTTGTTTTAGTTCAGCTTTCCCAGAAGCTGAGAATCTGGTTATCTCCGTTAGTTTCTCTTTGTAGAGTAGGTCCAGGATAATTTCTCTGGTTGGTGTTTTACTTTTTCACAGAGCTGCTAATGAGACAGTGTAGGTACAAGTTTGGTTTACCTAACCTGTAGACATAGGTTAATCCATTCTTCCCTGTGAGTGAAGCAGCTTTGTTGTCCTGAGAATCTCAAGGTCTGAGCAAGGTTTTTTTTTTTTTTTTTCTCCACATGCTCTTCACCCAGAAGCTTGTAACAGACATGCTGTGGTTATTCCTTGCCACCTAACTCAAAAACTCCCTCAGTAAATTTTGGCTGTTGTGCTGAAAATGCTTCTGGAGGTAGTCCGTACCTGCACCTTCTTGTTTTTGCTCATTAAGCCAAAGATTTTACTCAGTGTGACTACAGCAATGGCTCCCAACTGTCACTGGCTTATGAGCCCTGATATAGAACAACCAATATTGTGTTAGTGATGCTGCCATGGCACAAGAGGGTAAAGTTTTGGCCAACATGAAGATTTAAAAAGCAGTGTTTAAACCTATTGCTGGCAACACTTTTTCTGGCAACTATGGGTTGTGAATCACTGTTCTTACAGGACTTTAAACTTTGACCTTCTGCTTTTCACTAGTGTTGCTTCTGTTATAAAACTGCTCTCACCAGTTATCATTTATGGCTTAACTTAGTTCCAAGTTTCTATTTGCAGGGAATGCTTCTGGATGTTATTCTGACTTCTCTTTGTAAGAAGGCTGTTTCTTTTTCACTTCTAGCCTTGTACTTGTGAGCAATGAGCAGTTAACTGACTGCAGTGCTTTATATAATTAAAATAGAGAAATAGCACAGCCTGTAAAAGCAAATTAGAACTCCCTCACCACAAATCTGTCAAACTTAGCTTCAAATTTAAATTTTGTAATTTCAGCTAATGTTCTGTAAATATGCCATTTGTGATATGGAATCAAGGAGATAATACTGTTTCTTTGCTTTTTCTTGTCGCCTTTTCCAATATTTCAAGTTAGTGAGATAGTAAATTAGTGAGACTGAGTTCTGCAGTCTCACTGTGTGTGTGAAACTGTGTGTGTGTCTCCCTTCTGTGTGTGTGCGTGTGTGTTGGTTTTTGTTGTTGTTTGTTTGTTTGCTTGTTTCCTTAACAATGTTCTTCTCTACTGTGGCAACCAGCTGTCTTTGGCTGTGTCTGATTCCTGGATTTTAATTAGACTTTCTATAATGGCCTTCTTATAAAGTTCCTCACAGGTATATTACTATCTGCTCAGCCAATTATGATTTACAGATCTCTCTACTTCTTATTGTCTTTATACCTCTGTGTCCTCGACTTCCATCAGCAGCTTTTTCTCTACTCTGTGTGATCCCTTCCATTTATTCTCTTCCCTGGGGTCTGAATGGTAATTTGGTCTTTAATTTACTGAGCCAGAATATAGAATCATAGCGTCAAATCAGGACGTGTCTACTTAAAACTTTTCTTACTTCCTTTCAAATTTCCTTCCATTTTCCTTCTTAGGCCTTTTTTTCCTCCCCCATATATTTTAGTCAATAGCATAGGCAGAAGTAGTGATAAAATACGAAAACAGTCATGCCAACAATTGCTTCCCTAGCTGTGTGGATGTAGTGCTGTGTACAGAAAGCATTTCATGAAAATTCTAGCCAGCAGAGTGCCTAATGGGGAAGTTCCTAATTGTTAAAGTGAACATGAGGAAATGTGCAATGTGATAACAGAACATACATATAACTGCTTGAGTTCCTAAAGGCATTAATTTTCTTTTTTTTTTTTCCTCAGACTCATCCTTTTTGCGCTTCCATGAATCCGACTGTGACGTAAGAGGGTCTTCATCTTGTGAATCTGTGCTTTCTCTCAACACTGAAAAAATTCTGGTATGCTATAAAGAATAGAATATATTAAAAAATTAATAGATTGTTGATGGTGACAGATAACTTTACCTGCATAACCAGTTTGAATTAATTTCAAGCAAATAACTTCAAATAGAATCTATTAATTAATAGCCATAGATCCTCAAAAGACTTTGCCAATGAACTGAAGTTGCTCATGAAGGAATGATTTCATGGTACTGCAGCATGAGTCTCTAGGGCTGTCAGCAGTTTAAACTAAATGGAGATTGTGTTTCTACTAAAGGCTAACCTTCACCTGAATTAGCCTTTCAGTTAATATGGGGGTGGGGGATAGGGGATATGGCTGAGGAGGGCAAAAGTAGGTTAGTTTTTACTGAGGTTAATCACTCGGCCACCACAAAATATTTGCGAGGGTGGCAATGGTAACTTGTAATCACTACAAGAGTAACACTGTGTGCAGGTAATAAAGGCTTTACACCATATCTATATTATATTTAATAAAATACAGTAAGTAGAGAATATCCTAATGAAATAAAATTGTCTTTTGGTAGAGAGACTTCAAGAGGATTGTTACAATATTTAGATTTTTTTGCAGCAATACTGTTAGCCAACTGATCTTGAACAAATATAATCTTCGGCCTATATCAGAACGTGCGTTTGATGATCCCTCATAGGATATTAGTATAATTCTTTTGATTGTAGCTTATTTTCCAAATCAAATATTTAATAGAATGTTAATTACACACCCAGCGTGGAATCTTGTTGTATCTTGTTTTTTGTCCGTAGATGAGGAGATGCGTAGGGCTTTTTTGGAACTCCAGCAAGGATGAAGTTGTACTTCAGTAAAAGTGATTTTTTTTTTCCTCCGAGGTTAACTATAAAACAGTTACAGAAGACTAACACTTTGCAGAGTTAAATATTGAAGAACACTTTATGAAGCAAGTTTTCTGGAAATGACTTTACCTTAAAACCATTGATGATATAGAAAGGTAGTTATTGGAGGTGTGTGATTTGTGTATATATATGGTATGCAATGTAGACCTAGTTTCTTATTTGGTGTAACTGTTGAACGCTGTTCATTTTCATGCCTTTTTTTAATTGCTTTTTCCTATTATAAAAAAAATAGTTCTGGCCTGTTACTGTAGCTAAAGAACTAGGGGAACTAATAATGCACAATATTAGATTGTAACGTAGAAACCTCTAACTTCAGGAAAAACAAGGCTTGGAAAATCGGATGTATTTATTGTAGGGTGATAGCAAGTGCAATTTCTGTGCTAATCTTTCTTTCACACGCTCCAAAATATTTGTAAGACTGTAGTTGTTAAGGCAGACCAAACTTTCTTCTCATTCCTGAGACAATAGAATGAATAGGGCAGAAACTGTACAGTGGGATTTGGCCAGTTACTTTTGCAGCTGTGCATCATCGATATGTCTGTGTTGTAGACACAAACACTGGGTCTTCTTTAACTGTAACAAACCAAAAAAAGCAGAAGGGACGAGACGAAGTGGACGAGAGGAGTGAGGAGTCCTCTCGGTAGAGGAAAAGGTGAAGTTAAGATATTCTCTGAAGTTAAAGATGTTCAGATATGCCACGTATCTGAAGCAAAAGAAGAGAACTCAGCAGTGAGAGAGGTTTTGTTCCTTTCTTCTTGCTTCTTAAAACAGTTTGGAAGGCCTGTTAATCAAATGAGCATTTTGTACTTTTTTACATAAGCTGCTCTGGTAGGCTCACAGTTATCTATGGCAAACGCTTCTCAGAGTGAACAGGGTATAGTATTTCTGTATTTCTGAGGGTTTTTTTTGTCAGTATTGGTTTTTGTAGATGTATTATAAGGGAACAGAAATCTTATGCTTTTTTCAACAAGTTGCAGTCTGTTTTTTGTATCTCATCTGTAACTGACATGGTTGTCCTTTTCCTAGCAAGGACTTTTTTTTCCTTTAGTATGGCAGTGTTAGTTAAGCTTGTATTTATTACTGGAGCTGTTTTCTTTTCAATGGTTTATTCTTCTTTAGTCCCTTTTCCTTCCTAGGGAATGAGGGATAAATAGTGGGGTAAAGAAAATACTTTCCTACGAAGTAGCACTTGTCCTAGGAAGATGTCCAAAACTTGATGTTAAACAGATGTAATCTAGAAAGAGCAACCACTAATAAAACATTCACAATGTCCTTTCACCTGAAATGCTTGGTTAGCCTTATTTTAGAGAGGATAGCAGCAGCATCTGACTGACAATCAACTTTTCTCCCCATGGAAGATTAGGAATGAACTTGTTTTCAGTTAGCTTAGAGCAATCACGTTAGTCTAATTTTTTGATGTAAGGAATTCTCTTAAGTATGTAAGGCAGGGGTTTTCAATTAAATTCTTTACTATTGCATGCTAAACGTTACAAACTGATGTTTTACAGAGCCAAGCGAAGTTGCTTGCAGAACAAAAACGATTTCCATTTGCTACTGATAATGACAACACAAATGAAGAGTTGGGTAAGATGTCTCCTATAAGGTTTGTGCAGGTGACTTACATGCTGACTAGTAGCAGCGAATGCTTTGAAACTAAACTAACAATTCCGTAGTGACACACTAATTTGAAAAGTGGTCCAAAAAAAGGCCAGTGAGCTTTCTTTGCTTAAACAAAGAGAATCTCTTCCTAATAATCCTTTCTGCTTTGCTCACTAGGACTCGTCACCATATCTGCTTAAGCAAGTATTCAGAAAGCATTTTGGTTAAATCCTGTTAAACGATCTCCACTACTTCCTGCTTCTCTTTTTCTCTCATTGTTGATGACTAAAACCATTCAGACATCCAGAAAAACATACCAAGGAAATAAACTTTCTATCAAGCATAGATCTTGAATTTATTTCCACTCCTGTTGCACTCTTCCTGTCAGATTGCTGTCCTTATTGCTTATAAGCTTATTGCTTATCCTCTGTAGGGAGCAGAGGTATTATGCAGCAGCAAAGAGATGGTGAGGATGTATTTCAGGGAAGAGTGTGAAGCCTTTTATATAAGGGCAAAAGGGGGCTTTCCTCATAAGTTGTCTGACAAAGTTAAAACCACTGAGTAGTTTTTTTTGGCATGACTTTCTGCTCCAAGGATTTTCTCAGCAAAATTTGACGGCTTAATCTTTTTTTCTGCCGTATTCCTAGCATGCATAGTTATATTGATGGAATCCTGAACTGCCATCCAGTAGAAAATATTTAGAGCTCTTACTATCTTCTGTATGGAGCTCACAAGACTATACCAGAAGGTCCTTATCCTCATATTTGGCTCTGCAGGCTGGCACCTGCCTATGTACTTCAAGTATGTCATCATGTGAAGAGCCTGGGTCCTTCTTGTGTGTGTGTGTGTGTTCCTTCTGGTACCTTTTTTGAGGAAAAGAAATGTTTCACACAAGAATGTGTGAAATGTTGGGGCATTTCTAGGGCGGTAGTGGTTTCCAATATTTGGACTAATAGACCACTGTTAACCCTGGATTTTCATAACAAAATACAAATGTTTGTCACTTTTGTAGTACTTCAAGATGAAAAGGTGAATTTAAGAGATAAAATTTAAGAAGCTACTGTATCAACTACTAGCTGCCAATGACTTCCTGTAGCCTTATAGACATAGTCTGCGGCCTCCTGCGTTTTGCCAAGAGTCCTTTAACTAATCACTCTTCATTAACTCAACCATGCTCGCATTAAGAAAAAAAAAGGGAGGAAGCAAGGTGATTTATTTTGTTTTGTATGTCAACTGTTTCATGTTCTGAGACCATAAGTCATCAGTGATCTTAAGAACTGTGTAAGTTTGGAAGAGAATGAAATGAAGAAAAGTCCAAGAGCTCTTTAACCTGTCCTTGACTCTCTCAGTTTTCTTTTTGTTTGTAGCAGTGCTACGTGTTTGCAGCAAGCGAAGCTTTCTATGTTGAGAATTTCATTTTCCAGAAATGGTAACTTCAGTCACACAAGTGCAATCACAGCTTTTCAAAGTCTTGTGACTTGACTGTATTTTTCTAGAAACTGGAGGTTACAAGCGCATGTTTCTAAAACAGTGGTCTCTTTCTTTTCCAAATATGTAATCCGTGGTCTGAAGAGGGGATGCCAGAGCTGTTCCAAATAAAGCTTTTCGTATTTTAACAGGAGTAAAGCTTTTGTAGTTCTACAATCTCATTCTTATAAACAGCTGACTCAGTTTAGTTGTAATTTTTTCCAGATAATTGAAGAAAAGGAAAAAATTAGTGTGAGCTAGTGGGGTGTAGCAAAACGTATACAGACAAGTAAAATCAGACACTTTCTAATGGGAGTATCTGAAAAGTGTTAGTCTCATTTACCATTGAGAAAGCATTTAGGGCCAACAAAAGGGATCAAAGTACTTTTTATGGTCTTAAGTACTTCAGAAGCTAACAGGAACCTTTCCTGAAGAACTTGCAAAAACAGGGTGGGGGAGGGGAAGAATAAGGAGGAAAAAAGCAAAACCTGAAAAAGAGCTCTGATGAGTGCAGTATGAATTAATAATTCATGAATGCAAGTTAGTGGTTGAGGAAAGTAATTGCAGTGAAAGTTCAGAAGCCATGAGACTTTAACACTTCAATGCAATGTAGGGACTTTCATTATATACCACAGAATTTTAAAATGTATACAGGTCAGATGTTTTGCACTGTTGTACTTAACAGGTTTGTAATCTTTTGTTAGCAATTGCCTATGTGTTGATTGGCAACGGCCTGTATGATGAAGCCATACAGCATTTTTCAACAATGCTGCAGGTAAGTTTTCTGTTTGGAGCCCGTATGTTAAATATAGTATTTGAGGGAGCAAATAACTTTATAAAATACATGTTTTGAAATTATCCCTTACAATATGGCTTTTACTAAAATGGATCCAATTTAGGATTTTAAAATGAGAGTATTTATTCTGTTTTCTGTTCATTTTGCATGTAAGTATAAGCACACTCTTAAAATCATGTGATTCAGATAGCCTGATTAGTTGGTTTACGTTTTCCTCATCTATTGGAACAAACTTTTTATGACGTTTTGGCAAAAAAGAGGACTTTTCAGAAACCTGACCTGCACAAAGTTGAAGTTCCATTAATTGTTGTCTTAATGTGTAGACTGAGATCTCTTAATGTGTGTTTTTTTTGGCTACAGTTAGCATGTTGCCAGTAACATAAGGAGAAAACTGACAGAGATCACATATTGCTAGTGGCAAGTACTACATTGCTATCTCAATAATAAATGCTGTTGCATGCCAGGTTAATCCTTCTTCCTCAGTGGTAAGAATTTGAGTTTAATATTTAAGCAAAATTCAACTAACTCTCCAAGATATTTTTTTTGATCAAGAGGTACAGAATTTAGAATTTTCTTCTGCGAAGTAGAAGCTAGCCGCTTAAAAACTTGCAAGCCTCAACTAAAGCTGATTTCTAAATACTGCATTTTTATGGCTAAGAACCTGTGACTGCCAGAAGCGTGAGAATGCATTTCAGTCTGCTCTGGTTGTAAGCACACAAATGCATGCTATAAAGTAATAATGCAAATACTGGCATGTGATTTTTAATTCAAATGTCACATAGCTCATACTTCAATTTATTGAAGGTATACTAATTTAATGAAGTTATTCTAGGGTATTTATCAGGAGGACAGAAAAATGTGAACCAGAATTTTTTCAGATATATGAGAAACCTCTATTGTGAGTTTGTTTCTAATGGGAGGGAATGATTTTTCTGGTGAGAAATGCTGCTTTAAAGATCACTTACAAATTATTCCCTGCCTCCTCTTGAATAAGAAGGAAACTTAATAAAAAAAATGAAGATAAGCAAGATATAGCAACTGTCGAAAGAAATTGTGAAAAGCATGTATATAATACAGTAGAAAATTTACAAAATTTGTAATGCGCACATTTCGGTAGAAAAGAATATTGTGCTTATTGGATGTCTGAAAAGATGTAAAGTGGTGGTAAATGCCCATTTCCTTTTCCATAGAGCAATTACAAGTATACATCTAGTAAGTGTTTTAATACTCACTTTAACAAAAGAGCGCTTATTTAGCTGCTGTATTAAAATAGGAAAGTTACCCAAAGTTGACATTGGTAAGTGTACACTTGGAAATAACTCAAGCCTGGCAAGCTGTCAGCATTGGGTATACCACTTACCTGTTCTTTACTCGATGAAATACTTGTTTCTTGGCAAATATCCTGGTTAAATGAGACCAGGCCTATGCTACAAACTTTTGTAGGACAGCTGTTGCAGATGTGAAGACGTGATCCCTGACTGGCTTTCAGGGGAACCTGTTTGTGTAGACGTAATTGTGCCAAGAAAACTAGTTTTGCAGTTGTGACTCTCTAAATTTGGAGGAAGAATCATGTCTGGAGTAAATTATATTGGAAAATAAGTGGCTTTACTAGTGTAAGATGCATCCATGTAAGTGCTCAAGTTCAGCAAACTGTTTAAGACCTATGTCTTTGGAAGGCTAAGGGCTTAAATCTCAACCAAGGAACATCTACTTGCATTTAGCAGAACTGTTTGGCAGAATGCCTCCAGTTTAGTTTGTTTATTATCACTTCACTGACATTAGACAGTCTTACCAATGTCTTACCTTTACTGATGAGGTTACAAGTAATAAAGTTGTGACAGGAGAGTATACTAATGTGTATGCACCTTCTGGTAGGTGGTAACTGATACTGTAACTGCACTCCGATTACCCTGAGTAGATATACACAGGGCAGCGCTTCAGAAATAGCGCTGTCAATGGGATGGAAAAGCTTTTTGTCAAAAAGCAGCGATAGATGAAGCCGATATGATTACTTTCGTTGTTGATTAAATAAAGTCATTTTGGTGTCTCCGACACTTGGTATCAAAACTTCCTAATTTAATTCTATCCTGTTAATTATTCATGTTTATGTTTAAATAACATATGCCACTTCTATAAAAGGAAGCTTGCACCAGCACCAAAAGTCAAAAAAGCAGAGCTTTGTACTTGAACAGTACTCCTTATTTCTGTTTCCTTTTGAATTATAAAACTAAATCATAGATACAGGCAGAAGGAAAGAATTCAAAAGTATGCATACAGTTTTTGTGTCACCTTTTTAAGTTGGACATTTTTGCTATAAGTCATGGTTAGAAAAAGTGTGAATATGGTTATTTCTTATGTGAAGTCTGTTATCTCCCTTCAAATTTGATGGGAGATGTTTAGCTCGTTTTCCAAACAAATCCTCCAGAACAATTCCAGCAAATTACAGTGAAAGTTGTGAGCATATGAAAGTATGAGCTGTAATAGAGTCTGTTTAATACCTTTGCTTGGCAACTATGTTTGTTTACTATTTAATATCAGCAAGAATTAAATACATGTTGAAGAAAGATACCTTAGACTTTCTTTTTTTTAGTAATGATTATTGTATTTATTTTTAATCTGAACAGGAAGAGCCAGAGTTGGTTAGTGCAATTTATGGACGAGGGATAGCATACGGGAAAAAAGGACTACATGTGAGTAGCTAATTATTTAAATTAATGTCTATCTGAATTATTTGAATATAAACTATAAGGAGGCATTTGACAGTTTGAACTAGATTGATTAGACCTTAATGGGTACGTCTGGGAGTCCTTGTGCTGTCCTACTACAGTGGTGCTGAAGTGTGGCATTTCCTTTCCTCGGTAGATGCCCTCTATAACACAAAGAGAGTCCAGTGGTCCATACTGCTCGGAGCACGGTGCGTGAAAGTAAAGCAACGTAAAGCAAAGATGCCAAAGGAGAGTACAAGCACGTTTTTGAGTGGTAGATTGCCAGGTGGAAACTGGCCTCTTGAAAGAGTTATGTAATAAGATAATGGGCAGCATCTTGCCTCTCTTAAGAGGCAGGTTTCTGAAGTCCCACTGAAGTGACTGCACACTTAGTCTGTACTTGGAAGTGAAGAAGTCTTTTATGGCACTTCAGAAAGATTGCTGGCTCTTGTCAGTCAGTAGGCTTTACATCATCTCTTGATTTGTCTTACCTCTTGACAGTGTATACCTCCTTGGTTTTATACAAAAATATTTGAGGTTAAATTACTTATTTTGCACTCTGTATTGATATTAGCTATGCAGTATGACTCTGCTTTTTTTTCTAAACACGCGGGTAGACTAAACAGCTCTTTCACATTAATACAATTTCACGTAGTTGAACTTTGTTTTTCAAAAAAGAAAAATATCTTAAGTGCCTACAAGGTAAAGAAAAAACTCAAATGTTTTTATCAGTTACAGCTGACTGCTCAATTTCCTGAGCAAACATAGGTTTAAAAGTAGACTGTGGTCCATGTAGTTTTTGTTTCTCTAGCCTGCTGAATCATGATTTGAGTGGTTGCTGGAATTCTAGAAGGCAGATCAGTTGAATAACTCCTTGAAAATGTTCATGGTGCAGAATCTTTAATTCTGTAACAGTGCTGACAGGAGCTTGTCTGTCATATTTGCATGTTTCTTAGCACCAGTAAGAGTTTTTTCTTCTCAGTTTTGGTATACTTTGATACAGCTTCAATTCATGGCTTCTGCAAGCAGCACTTCCGGGACTAAAACGTGTTTATCTCATGCAGAATTTCTTTAACTTCAAAAAGAAGAAAAAGACCAATGAAACCTGATACAGAACTTGCTATATAACCATTTTCTATAGAAAAAGTAACTGCTCCCAACCTACAATGTTTTGAGGGTAGTATAATAGTTTAAAAAGATAGGCAAGATACTGACACCATCAACCCATTCCCCAGCATGCTTGGATTAGGTTATAGACAGTACTGATGAAAATGCTGATGTTGGAGTTCTAGTTCAGTTAACTGCATACATAGTTGCGTTGATACAGTTCAAGAAGGAACTGCGTGAGAACTGGAGCCAGCTTTGCTGCTAAGAGTACCTGTGGAGTTGTAACCTTTATGTTCATTCACAGTTATATTAGTAGAGTAAGTTAGTAGAGGGGTACAGCACGAAGGTCAGTACAGAATATTTTTGTTGTTGTTTATAGCAGATAGATTTTTTTAAAAAAAATTATTGTATGCTGCATCTTAATCTTGTTAGCAAAGATTGAAGAGTGTTTAATGTAAACTGATGTACTTCCAAAATCTTAGCTAAAGTAGCTGTGCTTCAATCTTGAGAGTATACTGCTGTAAATATACTTATTTGTTTAGCTTGTTTGTTTTCTTCTGTTCAGGACATGAAAAATGCTGAACTTGCTCTGTTTGAGCTCAGTAGAGTGATTAGCCTGGAACCAGATCATCCTGAAGTATTTGAACAGCGAGCAGAAGTGAGCAATTTTGTCTCTCTTTTCAGAACTTTGGAAGAGGTTGAAATTCTGAAATGTTTTCAAGTATTTCTTTGCTTATTTAATGACTAAAGCTCTTACCTGGTGTGTTTTTTGTGAACATTCCTCCTTGTTTAAAAAAAAATGCAAATTTGCTCTAAAATAATATGATTTGTGGAATTAGTTTTAGAATAAAACATATACTATATGGAGTTACTGTAGCCAACAGAATAGCATATGTTATGTGTAAGTACTTAGTTTTTGACTGAATGGATGCAACATTATGCTTTTTAAAAAGCATAATGAAATAAAATATCACTTAAGCCTAATGTTTGCACTTAGTGTCACCTCAGTAAATTTATAGTTAGGATGAGTGAGTAAAATGCCAAACAAGGAATGTGTTTTTAATTGAACACTTTGGTATTTCTGTTCACAAATATAACTGGAATATAATTCAGATACAGTTGCTTTTAATTTTAAAAATCAATTTTGCTTGGCCAATTAAATTACAGAAAATCAATTTCAAGAAAATCTTTGTGCTTCCTTTTTTTTTCAATCAAGAGAATAAATATTCATTAACCCCAGAACACTATAATGATGGTAATTGCCCTAACATGAAATTGTAACTCAAAATTTTCTTGTTTTTAATGATTTGGAAATACCATAACTAATCTTGATCTAGAAATGTAGAAGTTGAGCATTCAAATAACTGGAAAATAAACAGTTTTCCATTGGAAAAGTCTATTTTGGCAAAATTAAGATGGCTTATGAGAATATTTTAATTAAGTTTTCAGTTGAATGTGTTGAAACCACTTGAAATGGTTGTTGTATTGCTTGAATTGCTTTGACTGACTTGTTTTTATTTGGACTACTATATTTCTTCAAGTGGTGGTGATGATGTTGAAGTATATTGATATTTAGGGGGGAGGGAAAAATTTTCACGTTTTCTCTTTGATAAGTGATAAAGAAAAATAAATTCTGTTATCAATTTCAGTATTTAAGTTCAGTTGTCCAGTCTGTTCCAGCAAATACCCTCATTCTGTTATAGCTGAACTTAAAAAAGAGTCATCTTCATATTTCTAAAACTAGTGTTTGTTCTATTCAGCCTGTTCTGTCTAAACTAAGTACTTATTTTGGACTCTTAGATATTATCCCCACTAGGCCGAATTAGTGAAGCATTATCTGATCTCACTAGAGCTATTCAGCTGCAACCATCGGCACGACTCTACAGGCACAGAGGTACCCTTTACTTCATATCTGAGGTTAGTGGATTTGGTGCATTCTGGTTTTTTTTTTTTTTTTGGTGTGTGAATGGGGAGGAGTGGGGTTGTATGTTTGTTTGTTTTTTTTTTCTTCCCCTCTAAGGATCAGTTGCTACTTTTGTTCAAGAGCACCTTTCCTATTTAAAAACAAAAAATTCATTTTTTGATAGTTGACTTCTCAACAGTTCAGAGGTGTCCTTCAGGCATTTCATCCGCATATCTATTTAATGCGCAGAAGCAAACGGCAAGTACATGTTTTACTTGCAGGCGTGTCTAGGGTTGTTTTGTGTGTTTGAGGAATAGGACATGGATAAATAAATTTGATGTGATTTTTTTTTTAACTTACAGCTGTGTTTAAGGAGTATTGTTAAATGGCTACCTAAAAAGTAAGTGTGTTACAGCCAAGGCATTAACTGCCATATATACTGAAGAAGAAGAAAAAGAAGAAGAAGGGGGGAAAAAAAAAAAAACCCTGCAGAAAATGTTAATGTCCTATTTTGCTATGGACTCTGTTTACCTTGGTGTTCTTAAAGTTACTTGTTTTACACTAAATTGTATCTTCAAAAACTGTCTGTACACTAAATATCTGATATCCCACTTTATTTTTGTGATTTCACTCTGCTTATTTCCAGCTGTTTTTTCAATTTACTTTACTGTGTTTTATACAGCAGTTGCTGAAAAGAAAGTTGGAAGTGTATTGTGCATTCCTTATTCTTTGCTCTTCTGAGTAGCAGTTGGCAATCACTGCTGCTTACCGCTGACATTAACTTCATATACTAAACAAAACTCTGCGGTTCATTTTTATCAAGATACAAGTATATATTCCTCTTTATTCGTATGGCGTTTCCTCTGTCATCTAAAATCTACTTTTTTTAATCTCAGGATTATGCAACAGCCCATGAAGACTTTCAGCACTCATTGGAACTAAACAAAAATCAGCCCATAGCTATGCTTTATAAAGGCTTAACCTTTTTTCACAGAGGACTTTTGAAGGTAAAATTATGTTTACTAACGGTACATAAAGAAAAATGGCCTCTATTCAAAGTTACTTTGATAAAATACTTGTAGAAATTTGATAGGTATTGATATACGTATTTTCTCTTACATAGGAAAGATTTTTAAAACGAAGGACTGCAAGCAAAATCAAGTGATTTTTTTGGCATGTTAAATCTGTTTGGTTTGCTGAGAATCTAATACTTCATGATATGACATGGAAGTACTGTGGGTCTAGCTGGATCTTTGTGAATCAGTGACAACCGATGATGTATTTTAGGGGGTGGCTTCAAAGGTGTTTGTATTGTGCACGTCCATTAAAATTTGTATAATTATATACAATAGCTATATTCAAAATTTCTTTCCATGAAATGGAAACTGTCTAGTTATTGTGAAAGGAAGAGGGATGAACAGAAAATAATGTTAAATTCCTCCTTGCGTGAGGTAATCAAAGAAACCGTTGATAGGAAACCCTGCTGTATCTCGGTTAAATGTTGGTTCTTAAATATGTAAATTGAGGGAAGGTAGTCGCTCAATGAGAGTAAACTCTCCCCATCTTTTTTTAATGTTTCATGATTTTCTTACTCAAAACTTTCCTATGTTTTAGTTTGAATAATGTACTTGTTTCTTGCTTGTTAAGTATAGGAAGATACTGCTGCTCTTTCTCTGAGGGGAGAGTAATTAGACAAGTTTTCTGAAATCCTCAGTTTGAAAAGTGAGGGAGCAACCATGTGGTTCCTAACTTCCAACAGTGGAGAAGCTTTTGTGAGCTCTGCTGACTCCTGATGCTTAGAGGAACAAAATATTTGCTCTTGGACTCTTCTGGATTCCATCGCAGTATAGAAGCTACAGTTGCCATATAGATATCTTGCTGCATGTCTTCCATGTATCCCTCTTTCCATCTGCAAACTCACCTAGCTTCTTGTTGCACTTGGAGGAAAAAAGAGGAAAACTACCTTGATGGGTCAGACTCTCTTTTGAAAACTGAAGTAGCACAGGAACTCTCAGTCTTGCACGAAAGTCTGATCAGCCTTTGGGGAAGTGTGCCGCTCACCGACTTGCCAGTTTATTTCTTGCAGTGTCCTAGGACAACTGTGGCATGCTCTTATTCTAATTTTTGATATAGCACAACTGAGCTTAAACTGAGTCTTGATGAGATTGCTCTTCGAAGTGGATGCATGCTTCTAATCAGAGCAGTAATTTTTAACGAACAACTGTAACCAAGATAGGGGAGCTTAGCCAGTTCTGGCATTTAGAACTGGAGCTAACTTAATATTCTGAACACTTATTCTCTTGCCTTTATTCCAAATCCTTCACTGCCTCTGGGCAGTGAAGTCTGAATTTCTGATCTTTGGTCTGGACAGTAGAAAGCCCAGAAAGTGATGATGGAAATATAACTCACCAGGATAAACAATGCTTAAATTTGCAAAGTAGAAGCAATGCTTTCTCCTTTCAGATATGCAGATCCATGCATTTCCCCCTCTTTGTCCCCCCATTTTTTTTCTTGAAGGAGGAGTCCTGCCAATTACTGCTCTTTCTTCCCTCTCTAATATATTACTTCTGAGAGATTGTAAGCAAGTGGCTTTGCGTGTCCAGGTATGCCTTGATCTCTAGCTATCCTCTCATAACTCCCCATTAGGTTCAGGCTGCCTCTTAAAGGAAGGTCCTCTGTTGGATTATACTAGACTTACAGAAAATTGTTAAGATTTGGAGTTTTTTTATTTCTGAGTGAAAAGAGGCGGTCAATAATCTGCTAGCGTTTAACACTTATCTAGATGATTTGAGCCAGTCAGTAGGCAATTAGCTTATATTTTTGTTCAAGAAACATTCGTAGTGCTTGTACTGCACAGAATATATTTGATACTTTTTATAATTAGATCTTTCTAGACTCCCTGAAGATACTTATGATGCTTTTCTTACGGCATTTAATCTCTTGTATTATAGTAGACTTCAAGATATCTTTTGGGTGTTCCTTTGTAATATAAAATAGTTGCTTATTTCATCCTCAGTTGTAAGTCTCAATACTGTCTTTGATAACATGGTTAGCCAGTCTAGTTTAAATACCTAAGCTCTTCACTGAATCTTTTGGTGGAAAACGTTTGTTTGAACTTATATGCATATATTATGTTTGGCTGTTTTATTTTTATGCCATTCTGTTTCTAACAACAGCAGTACATAATCTTGTATGGAGATGATCTCTTTAGTCCCTCAACAGAGTTTTTACCAACCCTGTGTAGTTAACACAGAACTCAAAAAAACAATAATGGTAGAATGCAAATGTGAAGGATTTTTTTTGAACTGCAAAATTTAAAAGGTGTGCTACATCAATCAAGCAGGAAGGCTGTAAAGAGAGGCTGTGTTAAAGAACTAGACTGAACTTTAAAAGCAAACACTGAAGGAATTCCATCAGTGAATTCTCCTAAAATGCTGAGAAGAGTTTATTCCCATAGTATGTTATAAAAGAGACAGAAGAATTCCGGCTAATGCTTTAATTAAATTGTAAAGATTGTTACAATATTTTATTTGTGTCACTTGGTGATTTTTACTGTATAGATTTTGTAATAAATTTATGCCTTTTTTGTACCTTCCGAAGACTTTAATGAAAAACTGTAAATCCATGGATAGCATTTACTGAAGATACTGCATCCATTTAATTTTAGCAAGTGACAAATTATTTTGTCTGTTGATGTTTTCCTATAGGAAGCCATTGAATCATTCAAAGAAGCTCTGAAGCAGAAAGCAGACTTCATAGATGCATATAAAAGTTTGGGACAAGCCTACAGGTAATCAGACTTAGAAACTTTTTTTCTCAATGTGTTTTCCATCTGGTCATGTTCTTTAAAGCACAATCTGTTTTACACATTTGTTACAAAACCGTGCAGAATCGTGTATATTTGGTAGCTCTTACAGCCGGTATAGCTATGTCAGGATGTGCTCAATATGAATAATCTTCAGGTTTGCTTTGTAGTTTTAATTCAGTGTCTAGTAGTTCTAAATGAAAACATGAGGTGAATGATCGGTTTCAATAAGGTGCGTTTTAGGTATGCTAAATGATTTCAGTGATGGAGGTATTTAATACAAACAGCATGTAGGTGTTTAGTTTGATTAATATGCTCATTAGCTGCCTTTTGAGATTGTTGTACTATTTAAACTTATGAAGAACTCATTACATGCTGTGTGTGTCATTTTTATAGTATCAGAGGTCTGCTAGATCCTATACCAATTAATCTCTCTCGCAGCAGATATTTATAGTTTTGAGAATTGAGCTAATTTCCTTTTAATGGCGACTTGTAATTTCTTACATATCAACTAGATTTAAAAAATTGTTATCTTGATTAAGTGGTAAGGTTATGAGTCATTTCTTTGTTCTGTTAAATTGATTTCTCTTTTTAATGTAAATTAATTTGCAGTTTAATAAAATATTTCTTTAAAGGTGGTCTGCCGATAATCACTAAGGAGAAAAGTACATATAGCTTGTTTATAACAAGGACATAAACACGTCATCAACAAAATATCTCTGCCTGTACATTGTAGGTCGTCTTTTCCCAGCCCACTGTCTCTTGTCAGTTTATTTCATATTTTAAGCTTTTATTTTTGGAAAGCACTGTTCTGCAGCATAAATGCTGCTGCTGCTTAAATAGTTTTTGTTTATTAAGAGCTAATTGGGAGTGGTGGTACAAAAACATTATAAATTTAGATGTTAATTACATAATAATGTGCTATTTTTCTTCAGGCTTCATGCTTTACCGAAAGCAGCATCAATTAAATTGATTTTTTTTTTTTTGTATTATTTGCTGTATGGACTTGTGCCTTGTTTGTCACAGCATCTAAATTCTGAACTCGATATAGAGCCCCCAACTTCCTCATGAATTTTTCTATGGGATTTGTTATTGTGGTGTCTGAGTACTTTCTAGACATTAATGAATACTCAATAATTCAACTTGGAAGATAGACCTTCTTACATTTCCAATAAAATCTTTTACTTTTTTCATTTGTATTTTGATGTGTGACTGTGTCTCTGATCAGATATTCCATCCTGTGCCCAAGAAACCTTGATGTGAAGACGCTGCGCTTTGAAAGGGGAAGGGGAAAGCAAACTTTAAAATGATTCAATTTCCAATAGACTGTTGCTTTACAATGCAGAAGCCACTTAACCAGAATATTGCGAATAAGCACGTTTGTTCTCCCCTCCCCCCCTTTTTTTTTAAACCTCTGAAAGTCCTATGGTCTTTAGGAAATGTTGGAGGAAGGAACGTCCAGAAGTCTGCCTCTTCCCAAAGGGTAGAGACCAGAAGAATAGAATTTCCCCTGGTGGGATGGAAATTCATAAGGTGACTGAAGGTCCCTGAGAGTCTCCATCAGCCCTGACTAAAATCATATAATTTACAAGGAAGGCTTTAGAGCTGGTCTTACCAGATTTATTTATTTTTTTTTTAAACACTTAATGTTCAAAAGCACAACTGTTGTTGGCTCATGTAAACGCTCAGCAGTTAGATAAGAGAATATTGTTTAGCAACTGAGGAGACCATAACTGGAGGCCAACTATGAAAAAATGGAATTACTTTCCCTGGAGCACTCGGGTGTTGCAACAGATGTAGAAATAAAATCTCCTTTTTCCAGGGCAGCGCTCAGTTAACATTAGCTATCACAGTCTCCTTTCTTTCTAAAATGCTATATTTTATTAAATTCAACTCTTCTTTCTCCTGCAACAAATAAGTTTCAAGTGTCATGCTTAAAAAGGTACTTTAAAGACATTTTTAGAGTAGAAGTGGGCAACTCTGAGCCTCTAATTTGACCTGCACACTATGAGTTATAGCATTTTACCTATTAAATCCTGCTTCAAGTCTAGCAACTTTTGTGTTTGAACATGTATTTAGACCTAAAGAGCTGTGGATAGTCACTATTCTATCTAAAATTTCTTTATTGTGAAAGTACTTAAAACTATTTATTTGCTTCTTTTTTTTTTTTTTTTTAGCATTGGTCTTGTTCGGGTCAATTTCATTTAATTTCATGTGGAATTAAACTTCATGACCTTGGATTTTAAAAATCGATATAGTAGATTAAGAAAAGAACACAACCTATTTTTTTCTTCAGTTATTTATTCTTGATATTATATATTGATATAGTAGCTATTTTTACTAAAAGTTGTCCTGCACATGGAGCAATTCCAGTCAACACTTGCTTAGTTTCAGCTTTCAAACACCATGTACTTTCTTGTTCTTCAGCATCTGAATAGTCTGAATATAAAAAGTGTTTTTGTTCGGAAGTAAGAAAGACTTGTCATAGATAGTCTTTTCCAAGAATGCTTTTTGTCAGTGTTTTGATTCTTTAAATATCGTAGATATGGTTTATGTCCACTCAGAATTAGAAAACTTGTGGTCCAAAGTGGTTGCATATCAGAGTACACGTTTCTGTAAGTGAAAAACTCTGGACATCTGTTTTGTTATTACCACTGAAAAACAGTTGCAGAATTACTGTTTTTGTTAAAGAAATTTTCCCTGAGTACCATGTTCCTTTTTAGTGAAATCCCCTGTGGCCTCATTAAAACAACTTTTAACAAATAATTTTATTGTCCCTATTGCTTTCTGTATTCTTCACTTTACACTTTCTGGAATTGCCCAGAGAGCTTGGCAACTTTGATGCTGCTGTGGAGAGCTTCCAGAAGGCTTTGCTGCTAAATCAAAATCATGTTCAGACATTACAGCTCAAAGGAATGATGCTTTATCATCATGGTAGCTTAGATGAAGCATTGAAGAATTTTAAGGTAAGCAGTATAAGGCCCTAAATAAATTCAAAATGTAAAGTATGTATTTAAGTATGTAAGTAATGTATTTAAGTACGACTAAAATACAACAAATGCAATAAAATCAGCACATTTCAAGACTTTTCATTCTGAATGTGAATTCAAATGTGTATTTGAATTAAAAAATCAGCTTTTGTGAAGTCCTTTGTACATGATGTAAATGATCTTACAGTTTTTAACTGAAAATCAAATTTGCGTAGAACAAAGATACTTCCTCTGCTTCATGAATTTCTAAAACCAAGTTCTGATTGAAAGGTTTTATCTGTGTGTTTTTCTTTTCTTTTTTTTTTTTTGAAATCGGTAATTGCATTCTTGCTGATATTTTAGTTTGGGGTGGACCCTAACGATTTTTAATATCGGGAATAAGAAAGGATTTAGGGTGTTTTCTTTTTTTAAACTTTAAAATAAACATATGAAGATCCAGTATTTATCTGATTTTTCTGATTTCCCCCCTATTATAAAACAACTCACAATTTCTAGTGATTCTTTGAGCTTGTGAAAATGTGTGTATTTCCATAGGTAAACAAGTCTCATCTCTCTCTGTTTCTCCATTGATATTAAATAATACTGTCATTTTGCAAACAAAGCATTAAAGGCACATGTTGTAGTCATGTGTCCATATCCTTAAAACAAGGAATGAAATGAGACATGGGAACAATTACATCTCTTTCTGAATGAGATGTGATTTCATCTCATTCAGTTTTTGTAAATTATTACATGCTGCGTGTATATAACACAATTTGTAGATACTGATGTATCTGAAACGACATTTCAACTTTTAAGGTGAAGATACTCTTGTAAAGAGAGATAATTGTTACAAGAAGAATCAGGGCGTTAATTGTAAAGGATGAATATGAATTTGATAAGTGATTAACCTAAATAGTTGACTGCAATGTAATAAGTTGTACTCATGCGTGAGTTAGCCAAGATGCTGATGGAAGAAATGGCACAATATATATGTTGAACTATTAAAAAAGGACTTTTTACTAATATCAGTAGTGTGTTTCGTCTAGTTTCCTTCAACTAATGAAACCTTTGTGGTACTAATACCATTGAAGTAAAAATGATTTATTTTCATAATTACTAAAGTGTGATCAATCGCATATGGCAGTTCCTTTCTTTAATGAAACTGAAAATATTTTTCTTACCTTTGCTAGCAATTTTAGTACTTAGTGTCATTTGAAAGAAAATAGTGATGGAAAGTGGAGCTTAGGAATCAGTAAGTCTTTTCTCTGGTGCAGGTCCTCTGGGTAACTCTAGATTGTTTGAAGAAACTTATTATCTGTCTTGATTTATTAGTGCTTTGTTTCTTTAACCTCCTAGAGGTGTCTCCAGCTAGAACCATACAATGAAGTATGCCAGTATATGAAAGGTCTCAGCCATGTTGCAATGGGACAGTTTTATGAAGGCATAAAAGCTCAAACTAAAGTTATGTTAAATGATCCACTACCAGGCCAGAAGGCCAGCTCAGAATATCTGAAAGTAAAATACCTCCGAGGTAAGTTGGAATCCTCAGAGAACCCTGTCAGTGCAAGCACCATGCTTATAGTTATAGCCCATTTTCAAGAAACCTTCATCCTGCATTCCCGAGCCCTGTTGAGTATGCCTGTTTAAAAATGCACACTGATTTTTATTTCCTAAAAATATTGTTTAAAAACTGGGACATGCAGTACAAGTTTTCGAGTAGCAGTAAAGAGTGCTGTGATACTTCTAAGCTAAACTAGACTTATTTCTGCCTTGGAAATTAGCTAATAGCAAAATTAGATGATTTGACATTACTTTAATAAGGTATTACTGTTAGATAACTGACAAGTGTATAATCTGTTTTGAGTTTTTGTTTAATTACGTAAGTAGGCTGCTTATGCGAATAGTATTTAATTTATTGCATTTCTTTCCTCCAGAGTATTCTAGATACTTGCATGCACATCTGGATACCCCTCTTACAGAGTATAATATTGATATAGATCTTCCTGGAAATTTCAAGGATCACTGGGCCAAAAATCTTCCTTTTCTTATAGAAAATTATGAAGAACAGCCAGGATTGCAGCCACATATAAAGTGAGTCTTTTTCTTCTTTTCTTAAAGTATCCGCCAAGTGATTTTTTGTTTGACTTTTTGAAGTACTGTTCTGAGGTATTTATATCAGTGCAAATGTGTACTACTGTATGAAAGTGGAATTACATAGAGCATGTAAGTCCTTGTCAAAATCACACAGACTGCAGTTGATTTAGCTCTTAAAAGAGAAAAAATGAAACCTTAGAATGATTTTCTTCATTTCTGTCTTCATGTAATCAAAGAGTATTGTTTCACATTATGCAACCTCTGCTGATTAACTATTCTGTTTCTCTTTGCCGTTAATGTTAAGGCATTGATAAATTTGAGATATTCAGTGCATTGTTCTGTAGTACCCCTTTTACATTTTCTTGCTGTAAGTGTAATTTGCCTGACGCTAAGTAGTTTTTAGTGACAACTGGGACTCACTGGGAAAAAACTTCTCCAGAATAATTTAGAAAATCAGTATCTCAGGAGAGGGTGACTTCAGCCCCCAAAACCCAGGGGATTTAATAAAGTAGGTTGCAAAAATGTGTAGCTAAAGAAGATAGAGATAGCAGTTTCTCCTGGTGTAAATTAATTTCCGGATTTATTCTCATGCATTCACTTTATTTATCTGAAATGAGTTAAAAACATGTGGCATTGGTGTGTGTGAAATAGAATCTGCCTTTTTAGTGCATGAAGCATTTACAGAGTTAAGAAGTTGCAGAGTGAGGCTTCTAGTTAATATACACATGCTTTCCTTACTTAGTGTTAAGGTTCTGCAGGGTGAGTGTTACACTGAAGGACGAAGTGTTATCTGTGAACTTTATTTAATGTTGCTCACTATGTTAAAGCTTAAAGGTGAAATGCTGTTTCTTTTGACAGTAGTAAGATCTGCTGTTGAATTCGGTAGGACCAGTATTTGATTTGAGGTATCATGTATAACTGCCATATATCGTGCATGCATAGTGGGGTGGGAGGGAGAATGAGTGTTCTTTATATTGCTTTTGAGTATTTCCCACACAAACAGTATTGATTACTGTCCATGCACATCTGTGTTTTACTTGTCAGTGTAGGTCCTGAAAGTTGTAATGTCTGATATGTTTTTTTTCTTCTCTGAAAGAGATGTGTTATTTCAGAATTTTGAAAGCTATAAGCCTGACGTGCAAGAACTCATATGTGTAGCTGATCATCTGGGTTCAATGATGCAATATGAGACACCAGGATTTCTTCCAAATAAAAGAATACATAGAGGTATATTGAAAATGTTCTGTGAATCTGAGAGCAAAAGAGTTCTGTGCAGTCATAATTTAAAGCCACGCCTTTGCTATGCGCAAATCAGTCTTATGTGCAAATCAGTCTTATGCTCTATTCATTTCAAATAAAATTTTCATATTAATTTTTTTTAACCGTTTATCATCAAATTCTGACCAAATCAGGGATTGGAAGTCATGATCTCCCAGTTTTTATTGATACCAGGGGTTCTTTTCCTGTAAATACCTCGCTTCTCTGCTTCAGTTTTTCTGTCTGTACAAAAGTGAGTGTTTGGCTCTAATTGGTTTTCTGTTTTGTTTTTTTGGCTTTTTGTGCCGTGTTCCCCCTTCTCCCTCAGCAATGGGATTGGCCACATTAGAAGTAATGCAAGCTGTGCAGCGAACTTGGGCAAACTCAAAAGTTCGGATGAATGGGAAAACCAGACTGATGCAGTGGAGAGATATGTTTGATATTGCTGTAAAATGGCGAAGGTAATGGTAAAAGAAGGAGCAAATAAGCCTGAAGTTGCAATAATGATGCATGTTTCAGCTAACCAGAGGGCTGAAGTCAAAGCAGATTGAATAATTGTTCTTTCTTTGCTAGAAACGAGTGAATAATCTCAGCCTGTGTCCTTTAATGTATTTTCTTGCTTGGTTTTTGGTCCAGTCTGTGAAAAATCCTGTGCATTCCGTAAAGGGCTATATAACAATAATTTATCCAAATCAAGTGCTCAGGTTGAACTATTCTTGTCCTCCCTCCTCTTCTCCGTCTCCCCGTCTCCCCCCAGCTCTTATCCAAAAGAGCAAACTAAAACAAAGGTGCTTGACAGACTTTGGAGGGACAGGTGAGTGTTTTATCGGGTGAACATAATAAATCATTTTATAAATGTTAATGCTGATAAATCATAATACTAATAGGGTTGATAGTTTGTTAATTAGATCAGTAGCTAAATGTTTGGAAGTTAAATATGTGATGCTTAATGATTCACTGATTTCTATTTTAGGTCATCCATTTAAACTAAACTCTGTCCCTGTGTTTGTACTGAGGTGTTGGAGGTAGATAATGGCAGAGGCTGTTTTCTGTGTTTGAGATCTATGCCTTCCCTGATATAGATGCCTCCTATCAGTGGGCCTTTCTGGTAACCTTTCCTCCTTTAGGAGAAGGATTAAGCAGTGTTCTGTAGGCTGTTTTTTTTTCTTCTGAAGCTATACTCAGAGTAGTTTCTTTTCATCAGATTCCTCAGTAAGAAAAATTAGCAGCTTGGGCTCCCAGGCCATGTCTGTGCTGGGTCAGGCCAACGGTCAATATAGCCTTGCATCCTGTCTCTAGCAAGGGCCAACTACAGGCATTTAGGAAAAAATATGAGAATAGAGCAAGCACATAATAATTTCCCAGAATGTTTTCCCAGTCTCTGACAGTTGCTTATGTCTCAGGGCGTTCACAAGCCAGAATTGATTAATAATCTACCTAAAGTTCCCATCTACCTGCCATTATCTTGTCAGCAATGTTCATTATTGAACGTTATGGGAACGAGAAGGAATGTTGGCATATGTTGCAATTTTTAAGTCTAAGGAGTCAAAATACATGAGTTAGTCATCTCATTCATTTTGGTTTGATTCTTTAGGAACCAAGAACTTGTAAAAACCTTTTGCAGTAGCTAATGGCAGCGCGCTACATGCTCAAATACTGGAAAGTCACGAATGCCCTACTGCAAACACGACACTTGGTCTGACATGAAGATTTCCACTGCCTTCCAAGTACCTAATATGTAGGTGGTTCTGAGTGGGCCAGGTGCTAGACTTATCCTCATTTTTAATCCCCATTCTGTCTAGGTGTAGGATTTGATGTTAATGTATCACTGATATGGAAATCTTTAATACTTGAGGAGAGCAGCACTAATTTGTTACTAAAAGTTCTTTATAGGAAAAAGTGAAGTCTGCCGTAGGAATAATCCTGTAGAAACCTTAATCAGTAGGAAGACATTCGTGATTGTGGCTCTAACGGATGCTGTTGGCCATGAGAATCCGATTTTTCCACTTGTCTTATTTACACTAGAAGTGGAATCAATGTGGGCACCTCAGTATGAAGAATCCTGATTACTGTAAGGTCATAATTTTCTTTTTTTATATGACAGTAACATCTAGAGGCCTCAGCACAGTTGAGTCCTCATTGTGCTAGGTTCTTTTGCAAAGTAAAAGACTGTTCATGCCCCAAAGAGCCTATGATCTAATAGCAAACTATAGCAGACAGGTGAAACAAAAAGAGCCTGAGGAGGAAATGTAGTAACGTTATAGCATTAAAAATAATTTTTGCTTAAATTAGCTAGATATAATGGGCCAGTCAGTGGCAGTAATCACAGTGGTAGCTCCTCCTTAAAAGTAAGCCTATCCAGATGGTATTCAAAGCATATTGACAGGACAGCACAGAGTATACCTGTGCAATACACAACTTGTCTTGTACTTGTTAATTTGCTGAATGAAATACATCAGATGTGAGCAGCCTCATTTTTGTGACATTAAATTCAAAAAGAGGAGAAAGTGAACACGTACTTCCTACTTACAAAGTGGTAATATTCTGATAAAACAGAAGGATGCTTTAGGTTCAAGGAGTTTGCTTCTGAAAATATTGTTTTCTTTCTTTTAAACAAGAGAATGAGTGGGAATGGCGTTCTCTGTTTGAAGCAAAACTGTGAAAGGCTGTAGGATGCACTTCAATTCTGTTTGGCTAACAAAAAGCTAGCAGTTGCAAACTGTCCAGCTACACAAACGTTATTATGAAGTGTTTTCTTCCTCTTATAAAAGTCTTGTATGGATTTCAATTAAAAGCTCTTTTTTGTAATCTCTGAATTCTAGCTTTTGCCTAAAGTTATTCTGTGCATGAACAAAGTTCTTGTGAATTCACAAGCTAAGATGTACTTTTTTGTTTTGTTTTTTTATATCACAAACATGTGGAGACGTTAATATCCTTTCTTTGTAGGATAGCTGACCCTGACCAGCCTGTGCTTTGGTTAGATCAAATGCCTGCCCGAAGCCTTAGCAGAGGTTTCAATAATCACATTAATTTAATCAGGTATGAGACTTTTACCAAACCATTTCCCATCTCCCTCTCCCCAGGAATTGTACCAAAATGTACCAGTTGTTGCCTTTTGGGTGTTCTCAAAGCAGGAAAAAGTAAAGCAAAGGTGACAAAATAAGTAACCTGTGAAAGGTAAGAGGTGTACTTTCAAACAAAGGTAACAGATACAAGGTTCAAACACTGTTGTATATTCCATCTTCTCCCATGCTGCAAGGCTCGATATTGCAGTCATGACAGTGCTACCTCCCATGGAGTAGTAGAAGTATGAGAGGCTCAATGTGGCAACATCACTGTTAATCACAGGAGCAGAGTGTGTTTGTATGAGTAAGTATGTAGCCAGGTTTCATCTTATTTCCCTTCCCTACA